CCCCATGCTGTGGCCAGGGCTCCCCACCTCCAGCCACAGGCCCCAAGGGTGGCAACAACCATGGCACCCATGGTCCAAGGATGCTAAGACTCTCAGAGGCCCAGACACTCCAAGGAAGGGGTCTTCTTCTCCCAGTGCCCTGCTTCCTTGGCCCCCACCTCACCTGTGCCTGCCAAGTCCCTGCTCCATTCTACTGGCAGGGCCAGACTTCTGTTAGTCATTATAGTGGAGCCCAGTAGGCACTGGGTAGCTACAGGACAGACAAAAGGATGTGTGGATGGATGGATGAATGGATGGATGGATGGATGGATGGATAGGCAGATGGATGGATGGACAGAAGGATGGATGGCCAGATGGATGGATGGATTGGTGGATGGGCAGATGGATGGATGGATGGTTGGATGGATGGATGGATGGATGGATGGATGGATGGATTGGTGGGTAGATGGATGGATAGATGGATGGGCAGATGGATGGATGGACAGAAGGATGGATGGAAAGATGGATGGATTGGTGGATGGACAGATGGATGGATGGATGGATGGATGGATGGATGGGTTGGGGGTAGATGGACAGATGGATAGATAAATAGATGCAACATAGGTGGACAGATGAACAAACTGATGGGTAGATGGGTGGGTGGGTGGAGGGAGGGATGGATAGATGGATGGATGGATGGACAGATGGATGGGTGTGTGGGTGAGTAGATGAATGGATAGATGGAAGGATAGATGGATGGTTGGTTTGATGCATAACAGTCCCTATTCAATCTTCCACAAAACTTAAAACTGACTTGTAAATTCTTATTTTGCCAAGATATGGAAAAGAGCAAGTTAGCAACTACCATCACTGTTGCTTTATGAACAAAAAGATGCTCTCAAAGAGAACAATGCAGGCAAGCTGTGCTGTTGGAGGAAAGACAGGACCTCAAGATGTGTAGACTGAACTTCTTGGGAAACACAGTGTGGGACTCCTGCTCCATGGAGACTTTCCTGGGTATCATGATGGTCAAGCGTTGGAGCTTATGACACCCAAGTGCTTTCACTTGCCACCAGGACAAGATCCCCTTTGGCAGCCTTCCCAACTGGGACAGGACCCCCGGGCTTGTGCACCCCACAGGACGGGGAGCTCACCACCTCCCAGGGCTCAGGAGCTGGGGATGTCATTCCAGGGCACCTTTCAGTGGCCTCCACGACTTCACGGGAGGGAGGGGGAAGGAGACCAGGACTGGGGTGAGGCAACAGAGGGGCACAGGGAGGGCAGGCAGAAGCTCCCGGCCCCAGGCACAAGAGTGGTGAGGACAAGGCAGTGTCCAGTTGGATCAAAGTATAAAAACCAGGAAGTACTGGGCATGGTGGTGCACACCTACAATCCCAGCACATGGGAGGCTGAGGCAGGAGGATCACCTCAAGTTCAAGGCCAGCCTGGGCTAAACAGTGAGACCCTGTCTCTAAAAAATAAAAACCAGAAAGCTGGAAGACAAGACCTCAGTTGTCCCAGGGTGCACTGACTCTACCTCCAGAGTCCCCACCCCACCAGCTCCCCAGAAAGCTTCTGCCTGCCCCCTTCTCTCCTGGCCTCAGGGGACGTGTGAGGTGTGCACTCCCAGATCAGAAAAGGAACTGCAGACTGGAAGCAAACAGCAGACCCCCAGGGTCCCCAGCCAGGCTCCTCTGTCCTGAGGCCCTGGGACCCCACGCCGGGGGCCGGGGGACCCCATGCACCACGTTCACACATGCCACAAACCCCAAACTTAGGCCAGGGCATGACTGGGGCTGGCTGGGAGGGCCTCGGGAGAACCCCAGGCAGCCACTTCTATGGGGCCCGAGAGTTCAAGGCCTGGGTTCTCCTGCTGTCCTCTGCGGGGACTGGCCCTGGACCCGGGGAAGCCCACCCTGACCCCTGCCACAGCCCTTTCTACCACCCAAGGTCCTTGGGTAACCCGAGGAGCTGCCTGTCAGGCTGCTGCAGGTTCCTTTTGGCCCCTTCTCCCTCTTCCAGTTTCTTTTTTGTTTGTCTGTTTTGGGGGTTTTGTTGTTTGCTGCTGTTGGGTTTTTTGCTTGTTTGAGTCAGGGTCTACCTATGTAGCTCAAGCTAGCCTTGGAATCACGGTGATCCTCTTGCCTCAGCCTCCCCCTAGTTTCATATATTCCTGTGTTGGGTCATTTTACTCCATACCCAGATTTCCTCTCGGGCCTCCATCAGCTTCCTTAGACCCCTCTGTCCCTGGTGTTTGACCCCAGTGGTCCTGTCTTTCATACCTGAGGCCTAATTTCCTTCCTTCTAAAGGCCTGATAAAGTTTTCGCCTGATGACTGACTTTAAACCCCTGTCTGACTTCTTTGCTCTTCATTTCTGCCCTTCCCGTACCCCACTGCACGTGACCTGACCCTCGTGTCCCAGGGGAAGGATGGTGGCTGGAAGAGAGGACACAGGAAGTGGCAGGCTGCCAGGAGCCTTGGGTGTCCCTGCAGGACATCAGCCATGGCGGGGACGATTTGTTCCAGTCCCCTATGGGCCCAGCTCCCATGATTCTCTGTCCTCCGGGTTCAAGTTCAAGGCCCCAAAACTCCATCTAAAGCCATGAGTCCCTCAGAGCACCTTTGCACACAGTGTCTCTCCGGGGCTTCTTTGGGGTGACTCTGGCCCTGTCTGGGGTCTGAGGCTGCACTCCGCCCTTACCTGCCTCTAGCCCGGCTCCGCCCTCGCCAGAAGGGGTGGCTGTGCGGGTCACCTTAGCAAGCTCTCAGAGGGGACAGGGAACGGCGGGGAGGCAAACGCCGTCCCTTGCCACCGGACCACCCTGCTCGAGGGGAGCAGGACCAGTGTTTACCCAACTGCGGCCCAGGACATGCACACTGACTCCCACACTCACACAGTGGCAGACGGGTGTGCACGCATGCACCCACAAACAGGCACACTTGCCCACACAGTCACGGACGTCCACACCTCACACACACCCAAGCACACACTTGCTCACAGACATGGGCGCGCACACCCAGGGAGGGTGCTGAAGTCGGAGGAGGCTCACGGGGGCCCAGAGTGGTACCTTGGCTGTGGCAGGGACAGACACACTTTTTGGGGCAGTTGAGACAGTGTCACACTAACTGGCCTCAAATTCATGGCGATCCTCCTGCCTCAGCCTCCCAAGTGCTGGGATTATAGGCATGCACCCCCGCCCCCCCGGACACATTCTCAGTGGAGCTGAGCCTCAATGGGGGGACCCAGGCTGCCCAAGCCAGCCTAGTGAAACACCACACCTGGCCTGTCCCCTCCTGGTCCACACAAGAAGACTAGGGGTGTGGGCTGCAGGGTGTCACGCAGGATTTGCGGGGTGCTCCTTCTATTCCTGACCCAGGTCAGGCGTGGTGGCAGCACCTGGAACCAGAGGAGTCTGTAAGAAGTGGGGATGTAGCCAGGAGTGGGGGTGGGCACTGTAATCCCAGCACTCAGGAGGCTGAGGCAGGAGGCTCGCCATGAGTCCGAGGCCAGCCTGGGCTACACAGGGAGTTCAAGGCCAGCCTAGGCTACATAGAGAGACCCTGTCTCAAAAAAAAAAAAAAAAAAAAAAAAGGAGGAGGAGGAGGAAGAAGAGGATAAAAGAAAACCCCAGGGCCACCTGGGCCTGTGCACCTTCACCCTTGGTAGCCCTGTCAGCTCCAGCCACTCCTTTTTCAGGTTGAGTAATATTCTGCCACCTGCGTGCCACACCCTGCTTGTCTGCTCATCCACCCACCCACACCTGGGTTGTTTCCACCATTTGGCTGGTGTGACCCATGCTGCTGTGAATATGGTGTGCAAATACTGGCTCAAGATCCTGCTTTCCACCCTTCTGGGTTTATACTCAGAATCGGGACAGCTCGGTCACAGGTAATTCTATATTTAATGTTCTGCGGCCCAGCGTCCTGTTTTCCTCAGTGACTGCATCATTTCCATTCCCAAAACAGGGCACAGGGCTCCAGTTTCTCCTCGCCCCCGCCAGCACTTGTCCCTTCCTGCGGCTGCTGTTCCATAGCAGCTGTCCTGCCGGCCCCCTCCTTGTGGCTCTGCCTTGCCTCACCCTGATCATCACTGTGCACCCGCAGCCTGCGGTCTCCTTGGCCATCCGGGCGTCCTCTGCACAGATCTGTTTATTCCTCTGCCCCCTTTTTATTCAGGTTACCAGGGGGTGTTGCCTGTAGGTGTTCCTTGTATATGATGACTACTACTCCTGCCCTTTAGCTCTCTGTCCAACATTACCATCTCAGATGGCCCCGACCTCCTTCCTCAGCATCCCCCGCTCACTGACGCATGCCCAGCCCGGCCGCTCGCCGCGCCGGCCCTCCTTGCTCTCGGACAGGTCTGGCCCGGTGTGGCTGCAAGTCTCCCACAGTGTTCCCAACACCCCTCCCTGGCCTGCGGCAGGTGCTGCAGAAACCCCAGCGGACACGGATGCACGGCACACCCGCCCGAGCACACACACACACACACACACACACACACTCATAGGTCCCCTGTGCAGGCTCTGGAGTTTGCTCTTGCACACCTGTAAGGCCATGGAAATGAGAGGACGGCGGGAGGAGGGGCTGCCCAGCCTCGGGGGCCTCCCGGCTGCACCCCTCGCTGTGTCCTGCCCCGCATGGCTCTTCCTCCCCACACCTGGGTGGCCTCTCCTCCAGGAGCCTCGTGACTCAGCAGGGCCTCTCCCTGCCCCGGCTCAGCTGGCCTGGCTGGGACACAGGGCTCGGGGTCAGGCTTGGGGTCGCCTGTCCACCCAGACTGTGCTCTCAGGAGCACCCCTGGGTCACAGCGGGACGAGGGCAGGGGCAAGTGGAGGGGACCTGAGGGGCCACCAGCTCACTGGCTCCCACCTGGAGCCCATGGCCCATGGAATGGACAGAGGTCAGCAAAAGGGTTGCCGAGAGGAGAGAAGGAAGGAAGAGGAGGGAAGGGAGGGAGAAGAAGGCAGGAAAGAAGGAAGGAAGGAAGGAAGAAGGGAAGAAATGAAGGGGGAAGGCAGGGAGGCAAGCAGGCGAGCACGCGGTCATTTATTGATGAGCCCACGGTGGACACAGGACACAGTGCCAGGCCAGCGCGGCCCGACGGTGACACAGATGACGGCCACACCGCTCCGTTGCCATCGTGTCCCATGCAGGGCGGAACCAACGTCCCCGCGTGGGTCCCCGCCCCAGAGCGGCTGGGTCTCAGCTGGCCATGATGTGTTTCACGAAAGCTGCAGGGGAAGAGCAAGGCGCTGAGCACAGGCCCGAGGCCCCGCCCCCGCCCCGCCCCCGCCCCTCCGCCCCGCCCACCTTCATAGTTGATGCAGCCGCTGGAGTCCTCCTGCCCGGCCATCAGTTTCTCCACCTCATCCTCAGTCAGCCTCTCCCCTGGCAGGAGCAGGAGGCTGAGTCAGCACCGTCCCAAGCGGGAGGCGGCAGGGAGGGGACCCCTGAGTCCCTCCACAGGGTGGGGCTGCTCTCCGGGGTCTGCCAGCCAGGGTGGCTCACCAGACAGTGGCCATCCACCCCCTTCTGAGGCCAGGAGGACTTGTGGCAAGGGGGGGGGGGGCTGGGCATCTTGGTGTGTGTCTGAATGACCAATTTTTCTACCGGTTTTTGTTTTTTTTTTTGGACCCGGGATCAAACTCAGGACCTTGTGCTTTTGAGGCAGGCACTGGAACCACTGAGCTAAATCCTCGGTCCTCCCCTTTTTAAATATTTTTTAAATTTTGAGATAGGATCTCCCTAAGTTGCTTAATGTCCCGGGCAGTTCTCAAATTGGTGATCCTCCTGCCTCAGCCTCCCAGAGTACTGGGATTGCAGGCGTGCAGCACCACACCAGGCTCCAACATGCTTTCTTTATTTCCCACCTAAGGGACGTTCTGTGGCCTGCCATCAAGGCACCTGACTGTCGCTCCCCCATGTCCAGGGCGCGTCGGGGGCCGGGGTGGAGGAGGCAGCCTCACCCAGCGTGGCCAGCACGTGGCGCAGCTCAGCGCCCATGACGGTCCCGTTGCCCTCCTTGTCGAAGACCCGAAGCCCCTCCACGAAGTCCTCATAGGTGCCGGTGTCCTTGTTCTTGGCGATGTGCTGCAGCATGGGCAGGAACGTCTCGAAGTCCATCATCTTGGTGTTCAGCTCTGCAGAGGGCCAAGGCGGGTGCGCGGGGCAGGACGGGCCTCCCTCCCCTCGGGCTCCATCCTTCTCTCAAACTCCGCTCCCAGCCCCAGTCAGGCAGCTGCCACCCAGGCCTCCCTGGACCCGCACCAGGGCCTGAGGGCCCCGACTGCCCCCCCGTCCACCCAGGCAGTGGCCCTACCTTCCTGCTTCGGCTTCCCCAGGACGCGGAGCACCTCGGCCTGCGTGGGGTTCTGGCCCAGCGCCCGCAGGACGTCCCCACACTGCCCATAGGTGATCTTCATCTCGCCCTTGGGCGTGCGGTCGAACAGCATGAAGGCCTCTTTGAACTCTGTGGGGGAGGGGGAGGGGAGGGCTTCAGCCACCCGACGCCGCCCCCAGGCTGCTGGGAGACCCAGGACAGAACCCTTGCCCCCACCCCACGGCCCCAGGCTCAGGACCCCCTCACCTTCAATCTGCTCCGGCGTGAACTCGATCTGAAAGAGGCCAAAGGCTCTGAGGGCCTGGTCCCTGGTGGCCAGCCTGTCCCCAGCCTCTCAGGTCACCTGCCTCCTCCCGCCCCTCCACACCTGTGTACCCCAAGGCCTGGGGTCTGTGCCCCCCAGACCCTGATGGCAGGGGGTGAGGAGGAGGGTCCTGGTTCTAAACGGATGTTCCCAGGGCCACCAGGTGGGCTCTGCCACAGGGCTGTGGCATGAGTGTGTCTTGTGCATCCCGCCCTGCCCAGAGCCCTCTGTGGCCGGGCACTGTCCCCCTACATCCCTACCTGTACCTGTGACCATGGGCCCAGGACAGTCCCCACCCCAGCACCTTGTGGGCCCAGGCTCTGCTGGCCCTGACTGCCGAGGGGACCCTGAAGCCAGGAAGCCTCCGGGGACCCAGTGTCCCCCTCCTCACCTGACACCAGGTCTATTTTTATCACTGCTGTCACCCTCCCAAGTTCAAGGTCACACCAGGGAACAGAGCCTGGGGGCTTGGGGACAGGTGACAGACTGGGCACCTCTCACTCTGCTGCTCCCTCGGAGCCACCCCCAGCTCCAAGGTGCACACCAGAGCCAGGGACCCCATCCCAGCACCCTGCCCTGATGTCCCTCCTCGTGTTGGGGGAACAGGTTGGCAATCGCTCCTCACCCCGAGAGCTCTCTTCGAGAGGAAGGGACTCAGTCCCCTGCCCTCACCAGCCAGCCTGGGGTCCCAGGGGCCACAGGAGGGTCCTCGTGGTCCCTGCCTCTGGGAGGGGAGTCCACACCCACCTCAGACCTGGTGAGACCAGTGCCACTGCAGGCAGCAAGATGGACCGAGCTGTGCTGGGGGCTGAAGGGCACAGGGCAGGGAGTGGCAGGGGGACCTCAAGTCAGCCCCGTGCATCTGCCTGCACCCCCCACAGCAGGAGCAAGGCTGGGACAGGAACTGCATCTCCAGGGACACGGCAGGTGCTCTGGGAAGGGCACAGGCACGGAGGGAACCCGCCTGCTGGGGCCTCTGTTGCTGGGCAGGCGAGCCGGGGCACCAGCCAGGCCGGGCGGTGGGCAGGAGCCAGGCGTGCTGCTATGCGGATGCCACACATAGGAGTCACACTTGGCCTCCAAGTTTAGACTCTGGGAATGACTTCCCGCCAGGAAGGGCTCCCGGGGCCATGGGTCAGAGCCTCACCACCAGCTTTGTGTGTGACTTTCTGGACATCCCTCTCCAAGCTGTGCCTTGATTTCCCCACCTGAAAGCTGAGGCCCAGGAGGGCTCGAGCAGCTCAGGCTCGGGGACCTTAGCAGGGGTGAGTGTGGCCCAGCTGGCGGGGCCCCTCCACTTGCTCTCCACTCTGCCTCCCTGGGGGAGCTGCCATGGACAGGGCTCCCAGCTGGGCCAGGAAGACGCCTGCCTGGGTACTGGGATCTCGGGGCTCAAGTAGCTGCCTGCAGTACTCCGCAGAGATATGAAGGCCCAGAAAGGCTAGGTAAAGGCAGTTTCCAGGGCCACCAAAAAGACCTTCCCTTCTGACCCCAGTCCACATGCACAGGCTCCCTGCAGCACGGGCCAGTCCTGCCTGGCGTCTGACTGCCATCCCTCCTGCTCCTGCTGCAGCTCATGACTTCAGCTCCGCATCCTCACCTGCCCCTGCACTGCCCACCCTGGGCTGCACTCACTGCCTCTCCCGCCCAGCCCAGATCCTGCACCCACCTTGATCTTAGAGGCATCAAACTCGACCTCCTTGGGGCGCTCAGGCTCAGGCGCAGGTGCAGGAGCCGGGGCCGGAGCAGGAGCTGCTTTGCCCTTGGCCTCTTCTTTCTTGGGCTCTGGCTTTTTGGGGGCCATTGGGGCTGTGAGCACAGAGGGCTGTGCAGAGAGGATGCAGGGAGCAGAGTAGGTGAGCGCCACTGCCCAGGCCTTTATCGTCCTGGACCCTCCTGACCCCGCCGGCCCCCACCGGGCACAATAGGGACAGGGCCATAAAAGGACATTGGCAGGCTCAGGGGCTATTTTGGGGCCTGGGGAGGGCATTGTTCTGGCCCAGGAATGGGGAGAGGGAGGGCTCTCCATTCCTCCTGGTCACCTGTTGGGGAAAGGGGGGCGAAGGCAGACAGAGGCCAGCGCTAGGTGCACACACACACTCACACTCGTGTGTACGTGCACACAGGACTCTGCTGCAGGTCAGCAGCCTGGACAGGGGAAGACGGTGGGTGAGTACGTGCAGTTGGGGGCAGGACATCCCACCGCCTGAGCTACGCATCCCCTCTGGCCTGGATGCCCTGGGTCTGCGGCTGTGCATAGAGGGTCCACCTGCACTGGTGCGTGCGACTGGGCCTCATGTCTGCAGGTCTGTGTCTGGGCTCACGTTTTCCAGGGTCTGTGCGGGCTGAGGCGAGCGTGCCTGTGGCCCTGCCGCTGTGTGTTTCTGTCTGGCAGTTTGGGTTTTGTTTTCCCAGTGCTAGGATTGAACCCAGGGCCTTTGCACTGAGCAACAACCCCAGCCCTTTTTATTTTTATGTGTTTATTTAGAGACAGGGCCTTGCTAAGTTGCCCAGGCTGGGCTCCAACTTGCCATCCTCCTGCCTCAGCCTCTCAGACGGCTGAGATTGCAGGCATGTGCCCCCGAGGCGTCTAGGCACTTGTATGTGTCTGCGTGTCACAGTCTGCCCATGCAGGCAGCTGCAGCCCTGGGCAAAGGTCCCGGGGAGACTGTACCTCAGGGGACCCCACAGCTGGGCGGGGGTGCCCTGGAGCCAGCCTGAGATGCTCACCCTCATTCCTGCTGCTCAGTGCCCTCTTTGGCCACCCATCCCGGAGAGCAGGGCCACAGCACAGCCAGCCAGGGCCACCCTGTGGGGTGGTGGGAGACTGAGGCGGCACGAGGCCCTGGAGTCTGAGCTGAGGGGTGCAGAGGCATCTTGCGAGCACACTGGGCCCAGCCCTGGCCGCCCTGGCGCGGGGGGGAGGAGAGTGTCCCGGGTTATTTTTAAGCTCTGTGCCGGGGAGCCTTTGATAGCAACTTCAGAGGCAGTGCCGCCAGGCCTAGACCCCAAGGGGGTTCCCGGGGCAGTCGGGGTGCAGCCCAGCCTGAGAGGACAGTGCCCCCCGCCTCCACTGGGACCCCCACGACCGTCCTCCTGTGGGTCCCGGGTCCCCCTCAGCCGTCACTCAGCTCTCCGAGGGGACAGCTGCCCAGGCCCCCCAGCACCCCGCTCCTCATCTGGCGGGCAGAACACCCCACATCTGGAAGTCTCACAATAGCGGGGGGGGGCGTGTTTTTCACTTTTCTTCCAGATGTTTGGCAACAGTGTTGAGAAAGAAAGAGGTGGAGGAGGGCCCTCGGGGACGGCCAGGAGCCCACAAAGGGGGGCGGCTTGGGGGTCCCCACCCTGCCCACTGACCCCCAGGATGGCTGACTCGGGACAACCCACAGCAGGCACCAAGACGTGACCCAACCGCCGTCCTCCATCAGCACTAACCCAGCCCTGGTGGACACAGACCGCCCCCGGAGCCCCTGCCACTGCTCTCCTCTCCGTGAGAGCGCCATCCCCAGGAGAAGGCCCAGCACGGCTGGGGCGCAGCACGTGAGCCACACGGCATCCTGACCTCCATCCCATCCAGTCCTCTGCCTGTGGGTGGCCAGAGGGAGGCAGCGTCCTGGTCTTCTCCCCTCGTCCACGGGGCAGGTGTGGCCTGCCGTGGGGACCGGTGCGGCCAGGACTGTCCTGCATCAGCCTATAGGACCCTCCCTTCAGGTGGAAGGTGGCCGGACGCTGGAGCCCAGGGCAGGCTGCCTCAAACCTTCAACAATTGCTGGGCTGGGGGCGCACATCTGTGATCCCACCACTGAGGAGGCTGAGGGTGGGGGATTGCCAGGAGTTCGAGGAGAGCCTTGACTACATACAGAGACTGTCTCAAGAAAACAGACAAACAAAAAAGCTGACAGACACCCAGCCCCCAGCAGGAATTGTTACCAGGACCGAGGGGGGCCAGGCAGGGGTCCCCCATGGGCAGTAAGGACAGGTTACAGCTGCTGGCTCGCAGCCCAGGAATGACGGCTCCGATATCCAGGTGGTGACCCCTCATGCTGTGCTCCAGAGCCCATCTTGGGACTCAACATCACAACTTCTGAAGGCCCTGTGGGCTGAGGCAGGAGAGTCCTGGTCACATTGGTTTTCACTGCAGTTCTTCCAGTCCCCCGGGCCTGGGCACAGCTGTGACCTCCCTCCCACACCCTTGCCCGGGTCTCTGGCCTCCAATCGCTCCTTGTCACTGCCGTTCTCAGCAGATGTTAACACCCCCAAGCTGCCTCCCCAGACCACCCTTCCTGTCTGCTGACTTCCCACTCCTGCGGATCCTAAAACGAGCGTTTCTTTGTTAAGCTGTCCCGTGGCTGTGTCCCTCTGAGTGCCATCTGTCGCAACAGCATGTGTGTTCTGCATCCCCAGAGCCCGTACACAGCAAGCACTCAAGAAACGTCGGGATGAGCAAATGCCTCACTTCTCTCAGTTTACTCTCGTCTCCCGAGGGATCAAAGCCCCCCTTGAGCCCCTTCTGGAGAGGGGTGAGGGAAGATGGGGCGTTGTCGTATGACAGGCAGGAGCTCCGGTGACCGCAGAGGCCCCAGCCCCCTCCCGCACCTACCTCAGTCCAGTTCTGCCCTTCCTGCCGCCCCTTCCCCTGGCGGAGTCCCTTCTCAGCAGCCAGCCAAAAAACAAAAAAAGAACCTTAAACTCAGAACTCAGAACCCAGAGTCCAAGCCCAAATTCCACACTAAGGACCCAAAACCTAGGATACCAAACCCAAACCTCATACCCAAGCCCCAGGCCCAGGCCCCAGACCCAGGACTCAGACTCCAGACTCCAGAACCGTAACCCCACACCCAACCTGAGACCCAGAAGCAGACAGTGCCCGGGGCTGTCCAGATTGGCACTGCCCACTGCCCTGTGGACAGGTCAGCTCCTGGCAGGCTTGGCAGAGGGTGCTCGGCAGACCTCCCCAGCTGTGTGCACACTGCCCGGAGCCCTCCAGGGAGCTCAGGCCACGGCAGCCGCGTGTGTGTGAGGCAGTGGGGGGTGGCTGTCCCGTGGGCCCAGAGCCAGAGCAGAGGAGGAGGAGGGTCAGGCTCCCACATGCTCCTGCCCGGCCGCAGGCTCCGCAGGCTGCCCGGCCCGCCCCTCCTGGCCCACAGCCCTTGGGCTGGGCCACAGGCCCACACTTCCCGGAGGAGTCGAGAACGCGGCCTGGGCCAGACCCAGAGCCTTAGAAGTAGGTCAGATGTTGCCATGCGGCAGGTCCTGGGACCTTGTCCTGGCTGCCACTCACCTGCGGGGCACATGCTTGTATGTCCACGGAGATGCGACCTGCACTGCATGATGGGTGCCTGTGACCCCCCGCCCCGGGCTCTGGGGACACTGCCTGCTGCACAGGTGGAGGGATGAACCGTGGCCGGCCTGGCTAGAGGCAGCCTGAGGTAGCCGCAGGACCAGGAGAAGCTGGCCGTCCAAGCCTGTCCGTGCCACCGCGCAGCGCTGAGGCCTCGTGTGAAAGTCTGATCCAGGGAGGGCTTCCCAGCAGGGCCGCTCTGCCACCAACAGGATGTGGCCCGCTTCCCAGAGGCACAGCCCAGGCTTGAAAGATGGGAAAGACTGCCTGAGGGGAAGAAGAAGGCTCCCTGGGCTCTCCCTGGCTCCTGCAGCCCAGGCTGGTCCCACTTCCTCCTGGCCTCAGTTTCCCCAACCCATACCACAGGCAGTGACGGCTTCCCATGACACGAGGTGGGAGGACCCTCTGCCCTGCGTCCCAGGCCGTCCACACTGTCCCACGCCACACACAGACAACTCTGTCCTCGGCGGCCCCCCTGCCCACTGTGCTGACAGGGACCAGATGCTCCAACCTTGTGGTTCTGGGGGTGGGGGTGCCAGGGCTCGAGGGCTGGCAGGCAAGCCCTGGTTTGGCCCAGGGACCTATAATCAGCTCCTGCCCCTCTGATCCCAGCCCAGGACTGACGCTTGGGGCTGTGGTGTCCCGGCCGGCTGTGGCCACGGCCGCTATATTTGGGAGCCCGATTCAGCATGAAGGAGGGGGCGGCCGGCCACCAGGACCAGGGCTGGTGGGGCATGGGAGGGGGCAGCTGGGCCAAGCTGGGCGGCATGGACAAGGGGAGCAGCCCTGCCCATTCTCAGGGCCCGGCCTGTGGGGCCTCAGCCCAACCCTGCACAGCTAGAGGGAGCAGAATTTCAGTCATTCTGGGAACGCTGAACCCCTTCTTTCTGCAGAGTTTGAACGTGAGCTAGGGTCACACATTCCTGGAGAATGAGAAGGAGTGGAGGGCTGTAGGGGCATGGAGTTGAGCAGGACTGCATGGGGTGAGGCTTGGGGCCGAGGGGTCTGATGTGCATGAGGGGGTCCGAGAAAAGGGGTTCAGAAGAAACAGAGTGAGTACTGCCCTGAGCCCCTGCTCCCAGCCCTGCCTGCTGCTCCAGCTTCTGGATGGACAGATGGACAGATGGACAGATGGACAGGGCCCAGCGTCTCCCTCAGCAGGGCCTGTGGCCTCCCTGCACTGCCCTGGACATTCCCTGCCATTCGGCCAAACCCTGTACTCTGCCACCAGCAGTCTCCCAAAGAGCAAATATTTATTGTCCTTGGGAAAAAAAAAAAAGAGTCCCCTTTTAGGATCAGGGTCTGGGAGCTGCTACTGAGGTTTGCAGGGCCACGGGAGTGGCCTGAGATGACCAGAAACCCCTGGGACAGGTGGAGGGAGGAGGAGGAGGGTCCACACAGGCCCTACTTGGAGGAGAGGCCGCACCTTTCTGTCTCTGTGCCTCTGTTTCCACAGGGCTGCCCCAGAAGGTGTGAGCGCCCTGGGAGGTTCCTGGTGCGTGTATGACCGTGGCACACGGGTAGTGTGCACATGACTGTGCAGGGGCGTGCTTGCGTGTGTTACTGGGCACAAGGCCGTGGCCATGCTTGGGGAAGAGCGGGTGGGGTGCGCGAGGCTCTATGTGCCTGTCCATCCTTCCGTGCACCTCCATCAGGCGGCGGGGCAGGATGAGGGCTGTGGACACAACCCCTGTTGAATGGCCGATTCAGTCAAAAATGCAAGTAAATTTAGCAGAGGAAAAAAAACCCGTCAGTCAGAGTCGAAGTCTGAATTGAGGGGTTGTTTGAGCAGATGGACCAAGTGTCTCGGGAAGGCAGCACACGCCAGAGGAGGAGGGACGTCTGTCCCAGCCCAGGGATGAACGGGAACCAGGACCCTGACCATCGCAGAGACCGAGGAGGTAGAGACAGCAGGAGGACAGAGAGGGAGAGATGGAGCTGACTCAGCCAAGCTTCAAGCAGCCCAGGGCACGAGCAGGGGGTGCCAGGCGAGGACACAGGCCAAGAGCGCTGTGGACACATGACAGAGGGCACAGCAGTGACAGCAGCAGGGACGCCGAGGAGCCAGTGCTGGCTGGGGGATCCCCCCCGTCCCCCCACAGCCCCACCCTGCTGTGTCCCCACCGGGCCCAGGGTGGCCCCGCACTACCCCACCCACCCCTCTGTAGCCACGCCTCCAGGGGCCATGCAGAGCCCTCTGTGGCCAGGGCATGGACGCTGCATTGAAAGTGGCCAAGCCCCACCTAGGAGTCACCGGTCGATTCTGGTGTCTGCCAGTGTGGTATTTACACATCTGCCTGGCTGCCCCACCTCGCTGCAGCTGGACACAACTCAGGCCCGTCCTGTGGGTCTTCGTCCGCCCCCCACTCTACTTCTGCCCACCCTGCCTGTGCCACTGCATCCAAGGGTCATGCTTAAGTGAGTCTGCATGCACACACACACGCTCACACACACACACACACGCACACACTCAGGAACCTGGCCCACACAGGCTGGGCCAAGAGCAAGCACACCCCTGTGCACACATCTTCACACACTTATCCTCAAGCTAGATAGATGCCTTGCATGCATGTTCACACACCTGTGCGGACAAATCTGCATGCCTTTGCACATACATTGTGTGTGTGCGTGTGTACCAGGAAGGGAACCCAAGGCTGCTCTACCACTGAGCTACATCACTGGCCTACTTTATTTTCTGAGATAGGGTCTTGCCAAGTTGTCCAGGCTGGCCTTGTACTTGAGATCCTCCTGTCTCAGCCTCCCAAGTAGCTGGGATTACAGGCACATTTCACTTGCACAAACGTGCTTTTGCACATATATGTGTACATACTTACATGCCTTTGCATACATGGCCACACTCTCCCACACAGGCACCTGCACACCTTTGAGCTCACAAGCATAGAAAGAACTGGGGCTGCAAACAGGCCTGGGAAGGAGCCGCCAGGAGGTGACAGGACTGAGGCCCCGCCAACGGCTCCCTAGCGTGGTCTGCGTGTGTGTACGAGTGCATACGAACATGTGTGCCCAGGTCTAGGGCTTTTCTACTGCCTCCTCCCGCAGCGGAGGCAACAGGCCAGAGCCAGCAGCTGGCCGGGAGGTCGGCGTCCCCCAGTTCGGGGCTCATGAGCCTCCACATCTGTGTTGTTCTTGGCACATCCAGGCCCGATAAGGACGGGGTCAGAGCCGGGCTCTCGTGGGAAAGGACTCTCTGGAAGGCTCCCGACCCATTCCTTCCATCGCAAAGACACAGGGCAAGCAGATGGAAGGCCACAGGGCACGAGGGACGGCCAGGCCAGGCACGTCCCCAGCAGGTCAGCTCCAAGAGCCACATAGGTGCCAGCAATGACTGCCCCAGGCCTCCCAAGTACAGGGCTTGGAGCAGATGGCCAGGGACGATGCTGGGGACCAGCTCACCGGCAGGTGGTGTGGACTCTACCCTCTGATCCAGGGGGCCTGGGGGTGGGTGGTGCCATTCTGCAGCCGGAGCTCTGGGGTTGGAGTGGGGTCGGATGGAGAGGCTTCCGGGACGATGGGCACTGTCTCCCCTGCCGGG